GTGCATGTGCGAATAATTATTGAAATATCAGTTGCTCGAAGGCTTCAGTGGATCTCGTAGTCGAGCAGTCTCGACTAGAGCTTTCTTACTTGTTTATTGTTTTGTTGTTGTGATGTTAGTTGGTATTTTGATTGCAATGATTATGTTATTTTCGTAGGTCATGAATCCCATGCGGATTAATTTAATTTTGTAGATGTCTATGTTGTAGAGTGTGAATTCTTCGTTTGTTAGTATCGAAGGATGAAAGAGGTTGTATTTAGCTGACGCTATTATGTCTAAGATGGTGTCGACTTTATCATGCAAAAATTTAAGTTTTAGTAATTGGTCGTGATACATTATGTCTGTTTTAATTATATTATTGAATGTTTCTATGCTATTAAGAGTTTTGGTTATTTTTTCTCTGTCGTCTAGTATTACTTCTTTTAATGTGTTAATGGATTTCTGAAGGTCATTGTTTATTTTTACTTGCTCGTTAATGTTTTTTATTATATTATGTTCGTTTTCTTAATACGAAGCCGTTTTCAGCCAGGTTTGGGGTTATATTGATCATTGCTGCCGACAGCGTTGGCAACAGGACATTCTGCTTTTTTTTCTTACATTCTTTCGTACAATTTCAAGTGATCCACTTTGTGATTCTGACTTCGAATGGTGTGAATTTCGTGGTTGTGTAGTATGTGTTATTGTAAAAGTATACGGCTCTAGCCATTTGTTCGATTATGGGTCTTTTCTCTTCTATGTTTAGTGTACGAATTTTCTCTGTTAGTGTGTCTTTCGACATCGCTATTGCCAGTGTGACTGTTTCGTTTAGTTAATTGGTATTCTATACCTTCTTGAGAATTTGTCAGTGAATATTGTAAAGGATTGTTTTGAGTTAACGTATGTGTTTACGTGTACTATCTCATTGCAAGTTCTTGGTGTTTCTGTAAGATAAAAACTGTTTTTTTATGGGTTTTCAATCCTATTTCCCACCACTACAAACATCACAGTTATTGATTATTCTATGGATATGGGTCTTAAGGTCGGGGTGGTAAATTTCGAGCTTAAGCTTCTGATAAGTGGCAACTATCCCGCAATGGCCACTTTCGTTTTTGTGAAATAAGGCTATTTGGGTATGTAGTTCATCTTCAGACTCGATATCCGTAAATAACCTAGTGCACTTTACAAATTTTATTTTTGGGCTGGAAGTGTATTCCTTTGCTATTATTTTTTGTAATTGGTAGAATTCATGGTCACTTAGATGTGAAAAAACTCCTATTTTTCCTGTTGTTATTTCCCGTCGGAGAATGTTTATTGCTTGGTTGTCTTCTACGTCTTTCTTGCTCTTGTTGTCGAACACCTGTACGGTGTTTCGAGTTTCTTTTCTGTAAAAATTAGTTGTACATTGAATCTGTTAACTACTGTTTTTAGTATAGACATGTCGAAACCCTGATCCTCTTCTTTAGAATGAATTTGAGCTGCTAGGGATCTGTTTTCTTCATCATTGGTGGATTCAATTTCCATTAGGTTTATTTCGTCCTCAAAAAGTCAGCGATGTTATTACATTTCCCTTTTATGTATTCTATCCCATCTCTGCAATCTTTGGCTTATGTCTTTGCCTGTATATTTGGCCATCAGCCATTTTAATGGTTGGCGATCGCTCTCGAGGTTGAATTCTCTACCATAAACATATGGTCGAAAATATTTTACGGCCCACACTGTGGCTAGGAGCTCTTTCTCTATGGTTGAATAGTTACATTCGTGCTGGTTTAAAATTCGGTTGCGTATGCAACTGGGTGGCTTTCTTGAGAAAGGACTGCTCCCACCGCGAAATTACTGGCATCTGTAGTGATAGTGAACTTTTTGGAAAAATTTGGGTATCGTAGGACAGGACTGTTTGTGACTAATGTTTTCAACTTTTCAAATGCTGCTATGTAGCTTGGGTCGTCGGTGTTGATTGTC